CCCCCCCAGATTTCAACTTACATTTGTTTTTGAAGGAATGCTCGTTGCCATCTCACTACGGCCACCCAACTCAAAGACAGATAGAAGCGTCAGGAGTAATTACACCTAGAGGTGTAGTAAACCTATCCGTCACCGAGTAGCTGTAGTGCGTCCAAGTGCCTCAGAGCGCGGATCCGAGATGCGCAGTTGAAAACATGCGTGGGCGTGCTGCTATAGAAGAACTGGCGCGTGAAGCTGCGCGAGAGCCGCTTGAACCGCGGGCGGCTTGGCAAAGTACCCGGAGCTCGTTACGTACATCATCATCTCGCTGGAGCGTATTCTGCTGCTTATCCAGAAAATGTGCGAATACAACGCGCAGTTGGAAACGTCCTAGAAACTTTTCCATCCGCGTGGGCTCCTACAGTAAAAACAAATAAGTTTACTTTAGACCTTGATATTCCGAAATCTGCTTATCCTTTTCGTGATTTAACCCAAGCCCCTTGAGGAGAGCTTTCAAGGTTCTTGCCAATAACGCTTCCGTGCCATCCCAGCCTCCGCCTCCGCCCTAGTATACCAGCAGAGTTGCAGAGGCTTTGGGGGGGGGGGTAGGTTAGACAGCAATTTGTACATAAGTATAAACGTACTGACAGTACAGCCGGCTAGCACTTAGCCTTACAATAATACGTACAATGCTGACCCAATGCTAAAAGAGTAAATCTTTCGCCCAAATAGCCTCTAAACCAGTTAAAGGGGACATTTTCGGCGAGCGATTGTGATCCACTATCAAGCGATACGAAGTAGGACACACCAATCGACTTTGCGATGTGTGAATAATATCAGATATTATTCAAGTTGGCGGTAACCTGGGTCACCATAATGTCACGGTCTACAGCTAGATGGTGGATTCACCTTCCTTGTGGACTGTATCCAGAAGGTCTGCTCGCTACAGAGTCAACGAGCTACATCCAACACGCAAGGACAAGAGGAGCAGACGTCGGCGTTCCACGTCTAGAGTGGGACTGGGATGAAGGGAATGAGGAGGTACCTCGCTGTGGACCG